AGCCATCTTTTAGCCATCTCCACACTGGCCAGGACAGGTCAACATCATTTTGTTGTTGTTGTTGTTACAATTTCACATGTGAGTTGATGCCTTTTATCAATACAGTAAATTCTCAACTGTGTTCTCTTCAGATATTGTTTCTGTCCCATCTGCTCCTACTTTTTTTTTAGATTCCAATTAGAAGTCACACTTTGTAACTAGGTTGAATATACCTTTTAGAATCTCTTCTGCATTTTCAAATCTTTTGTCTCTTTATGTTTCAGTTTGGGAATTTTCTTCTATTCTCTGTTTTAGTACACTGCCTATGAATCTATGTTTAATCTCCCTTCAAAATTCATCAAGTTTTTCAAATTTGCTACTGTATTTCAAATTTCGTAAATTTTGATTAGATACTATTGCATTGTGTTCAATATTCCACCAAAATTCTGTCTTATCCTTCATTTTTTAAACATACTTTTTATTGAGAATAAAGTGCTCTCATTTCTTACTGCAAAATTCTTCACATAGGTGCAATCATGTGTCATTTAATGAGAAATGTGAGGGCATCCCATTTCCAATGCCATGAGGTCTCCTTGAAAAAAGAAGGCTCTGAGTCACAGGGAGGTGCAGTCTAATGGACTTACCACTATATGTGCAATTTGTCATCGACTGAAACATGGTTATGTGATACACGGATGTATTTTAATGTGTGATTTTGTCCTGTGCGTTATATGGATCCTGTGATTCAGATTCTATTTTCTTGTGTTCTTTTGAGTTTTATTCTTCTTTTATTCTTATTATGTTTGGAGTGAATAATACACACTTCATATGAAAAAAAAACTGGATAATTTAACCTTTTTCTAGAGAGAATTTTCTTCTGTTTCTGACAGGCTGCTAGAATAAAGAAACCCATACCCTAGATCATCTTAATCCAATCAGGGATTGATAGAATTTAAACCTGGGCTTCAGTCCTTATGAGAAGCAGTCTAGTAGAAATTTAATTTTATTTCTAAGAAATGGTTCTTTAAGGTCTGGGATATTTCCCAGAGCCCAAAGTCTTTGATAAGGCCTGAATTCCAATTTAGTTTCTCTAGTGAGTTTGTGAAAATTCCCTCAGTCTCTTAATCACTACTTTGAAAATCAGCATAGAATTTTAAGGGAATTGCAGCTACAGGTGCAGGCTCCTTTCTTTTGACTTCAGTTTTGGCCCTCAGAGTATCTCTGTGTTTTGATATTTCTCTGAAATTTACATACATATACAGAGCATATGCATGTAAACATACACACACATACATATATACACACACTTCTAGACATTTTCTCCAACTATTTTATGTACATTAGAACAAATGATTTAATATTTTCAGCCACGTGCAATTACTCATATAATTTTGAAAGATGTATTTATTTTCAAAATATATAGGAATGACTCAAGTAAAAAAGTAGCTACCATGAGGTTGGCCATTTAAAAGTCCATCGCAGTAGCTTCAATTGCAGTAGAAGCAACCTTCCAGGATTCTGCAATTTCAAATGCTGTAGTTGAGGGTTTCCAGCCTGAGTTTCTAACACTGTCATTTTTATACCACATGCATCTGCTTTCTACTAGATCACAATGCAGTTTAAAACTCACCTCAAGGTTTTATACCATTTTGCCTTTTATTTCAGTGTCATCCTTCCAGAGGCTACCTTACTTATTTCCATCTGTTTTGTTATCTATGGTGTTCAAAAGGACATGCCACCCTCAGTAGCAGCTGTGAGTGCTTTACCTATCACCCATGGGGAATCATTTGTATACACTGAAGACTGATTTTATAGAGCATCTGTAAAATTCTGCCTTCGGTCTTTTTCACTTCTCAAAAGCATGCTGCGCTCTTACAAGGGATCCTCCACTAGGCCTGAACTCCAGTGGAACAGTCCCAGAGTGACAGCTGGAGTAATAATGCATCCTGTCTGTGCTCCTTCTATTCCTTGTTACATTTTCCCTCTCCATTTAGGTGTTTACCTGGATAACCTGCCAAATAAAGAACGTATATTGAATCCAAGTTTTCAATATTTGGGGGGAGGACTATGTATTAAAAAACGTATTTGGATGCTTCATCAGTATGTTTATTTTGGATAACTTTCAGTGTGTCTCCTCCTTATAAAATTTTTATAAAATGATTCCTGAGAAAAATCCCAATAATATATTAAAGAAGAAGTCTGTTTTAGTATTGCACATGGCAGATTTAAGGAAAATATCTATGGTACCTTTCTCCAATTTATGTACTTTTGAGAATAGAGAATTCAAAAGTCATCTAACAACAACAACAACAATAAATTATATCTTGTGGCAATTTGTAATAGAATAAGTGATTAACAATGATTTTATGTAAAAGTTGGCTTGTGTTTATCAAAGTCATAAAGTAAGTGATTGATAAAAGTAAGATCTCCAGTATGTGAGGAACATGGTAATTTTGAGAAGAGAAGTAGGTGGGAAGCAAAAGCTGTATCTTTCAACTATGGATGAAGTTCAGCTAGAAGCACACTGCCAGTATCAAAAGCATTTTAAGTGTAGCCTGATGATGAGAAATTATAAACAAAACATCAGAAGCCTCTGTGTGCATAAGTCCAATTCATACAATTTAAGTGAAATAGTCCAACGTTTAATGATTAAGTTAAAAATGATACCTGTATTATGAAGAACAAGCAATAAAACTTTTGAGATTAATTTAGTTCAAAGCTGGGGCATTTATAAATTATCCTTAAATTTAACTTAATATGGGCAAAGTTTTACAGATTTAGACATAAAGCGAAGGGAAGAATATCTCTTTCCCATTCACTGATTCAGAGAAACATCCTTGAATAAGGAGTAAGAGTAACTAAAGAACAATTAATAAATCCTCCAGTTTTGAACTATAAATGTATGGTCCCATTCTAACTCTTAAGTATTTTTTGGTTGTTTGTTTTTCTGGGGTACCAGAGATTGAACCCTGGGGGTACTTAGCCACTGAGCCACATCCCCAGCCCTTTTTAAAAATATATTTTATTTAGAGACAGGGTCTTGATGAATTGTTTATGGCCTCATTAAGTGGCTGAGGCTGGCTTTGAACTTTCAATCCTCCTGCCTCCTAAGCCCTTGGGAATACAGGGATGTGCCACTGCACCTTGTTTAACTCTTAAATTTTATCTTCAAGTTATTAAAAATAGTTATATTTGAAACAACACCAAAAAAACATGAGAGAGGAACAACATCTGCAATATCATATTGATAGGACACTTAACCTCCTTGCTGAGGCACAAAATAAGAAGACATGAATTCTGGTTTTAAAGAATAAAAACTAAAGGATTCACAGAAAAGCTACTTGAATTAAGGGTATTACCTTCTTCTATCATTCCCATTCCTTCTAGAAAGTCTGTATTATGTTACTTTTTAAAATTGCAATACATTTGCCATTTCTTACATTATTACTGTAACTTCATTAGATTATATTAGAAAATGTAATAGTATATGTTGCCACCAATACAGCAGTATACATTTTTTAGTCCTGAATATAATTTAACTAGTTTTGTCTTAACATTTTTTTTTTTTTTGTACAAGGGATTGAACTCAGGGAGATTTAACCACTAAGGTATATCCCCAGCCCTTATTTTTTAAAATATTTTTATTTTGAGACAGGGCTTCCTCAGTTAGTCAAGGCCTCACAAAGTTGTTGAAGCAGGCCTTGAACTTGTGATCTTTCTGTCTTAGCCTCACCAGCCACTGGGGCTACAGGTGTGAGCCACATGCCTGGCTATAATGCAGAATATTTTTAAGTGAACATAGAAAATAGCTGATTATATTCTGGGAATATGATAAATCAAACTTTTTTCCCCCTCAGCTTTGGATCTAAGAGCTCACCAGAAGCAAACCAACTAGTCAACAAACAATAAAAATAATAAGCCAAATATGAAAAACAAAAGATTAAATCAAATTTCAACACAGAAAAATTAAAATAGGCAAATGGAGGTAGGATTGATAAAGAGGAAAAGCAAATGAGAGAGATATTTATAAACACTGCAGAGGAAAAAATAACTGGGGTAGAAAGAAACTTCATGATTAGACAGGACAAGGCAGGGTAGTGCCTGCTAAGGAAGGGGTAGGGAGTCATAGGAAACCTGTACTGTGGAATGATGGAGACATTCTAAGGGGTACAAGCCCTGGATAATTAAAGATCTAGAGGGTAGCCATATCAAAATTCCTAAAATATACTAATCTTGAAAATTTTTGATTTGTAAAGAAAATTGGACAAGATAAATTATGGTTTGAGAGTGCAACACAAAAATAAACATCTGAAATTCTTGAGGCTTCTCTTTGTTCCTCCATTGGTAATTTTCTCCCCCTATCAAAAAAGTGGCTTTCAGCTACTTGGGAATGAACCCAGACTGATCCCCTGGGGCTGTTTCAATGGATACCTTTGGTGTCCACTTGTCCCTAAAAACATGGCAAGGTCTTTCTCCTAGTCTCTTTGTTTTTTACCTGTTTTCTGGCTCTCTTCATTGAATGAGAGACAAGACTGTGACTTCATACTTAGTGTGATACTGTTTTGTGACCGCCATAATAAAGTACAACAGAGGAATAATGGACAATGGGAAAATGATCCAGGTGAGTACTGATCTATTATTTCAAAAGAAAATTAATGTTCTCTTTCTCTAATCTTAGAAAATCATCCACCAGTAAAGCCAAATGTAGACAAAGAGGAAGCATGTAAAAGAGAAGCAGGAAGTTCTTCCCTTGCTGAGATGGAACAGGCAATAATATAAAACAGTCATAGCATTTCTGACATAGGAATAGTTCCTTGGCTTTCCCTGTAACAACAGAATCATAGCACCATAAATGCACTATGAGGAAAACTATTCAAATGCAACAGCAATTACAAAGAGATCACTGAGTTACACATTTGTGAATGAGGGAACACAAATATGTAAAAGATGACCTGTTGGGTACCACACCTACTGCTGAGAGTATATAAATGCCTCTGTCCAGAAGGGGACATTAAAACTCAGCATCTTCTCAGTTCCACTCAGCTGAGCTCCCATCTCCTCTCAACATGTCCTCCAGCTGCTGCTCTGGAAACTTCTCCTCCCGCTCCCTTGGGGGCTCCCTGCGCTTCCCAAGCTCCTGTGGCTCTTCCTACCCCAGCAACCTGCTCTACAGCACTGACCTGTGCTATCCCAGCACCTGCCAGCTGGGCTCCTCTCTCTACAGGGGCAGTCAGGAGACCTGCTGTGAGCCCACCAGCTGCCAGACGTCCTGTGTGGTGTCCAGCCCCTGCCAGCCTTCCTGCTATGGCCAGAGGACATCCACACTCTGCAGGCCCTGCCAGAGGACCTATGCTGGATCTCTGGGTCCAGCAGCTGCCACTCCCTGGGCTATGGATCTAGAAGCTGCTACTCCCTGGGCTGTGGATCCAGTAGCTTCAGATCCCTGAATTATGGTGTCTCTGGCTTCCCTTTTCTGGGTTACAGATCCAGTTTCTGCAACCCAATTTCTTTTCTTTCTAGAAGCTACCAGTCTTCTTGTTACAGACCAGCCTGTGGATCTGGCGTCTATAGATTCACTTGCTAAGTGCCTGCATTCTGAACCTGTAGATTAAAGTCTACTTTGAGCACCATTATTTTCATTCTTGTCACCTGCTCCTTTTATTCTTCTATTGACAACTTCTTGCCTCTTCAATTTCTAGCAAACTCTCAAGTTCATGAGGATCTTTCCAATTAAATGTTAATAATGTTGTATATTATCTGGCTTTCATCCAAAACAGTTGAAAATGAAAATTTTAATTTAATAAATGTACGAAATCTGACATCTAAATACATTGTTCGCATGATTGTTTCTTGCAAGGAGCTTTTTCATTCAAGGATTTGGGAGATTTAAATACAGATTATTCTGACTTGAAACTGGGTTTTGGGAACATATAATTTGATAAATGTTAGAAAATTCTGTTGCCATTTGATAAATTCCCTTGTAGGAATAATTGTTTCTTGGAAGATCACTCTTTACATGTGCAAACCAATCTGAGCAGCAATGAGAATTGCTGCTGATTCTCATTGGCTGAGAATGAAGGAGATTCATTTTTACAGATACAAGAAAATAAATAGTACATAAACTAGAAATATGGACAACAATAATAGTGTGTAATATATAAGGTGAGCTGTATACATAGATAGAATCTTATGTATGGTTGGTATATGAAAATAGATTTTTCAGTCAAGGGAAAATGAGCTTTAAGCAAATTTCAGGATAGACACTTTGGTCTTAGCTGATTTAAATGCCAGGACTCCTGCCTCCCACTGTTGAGATCTTCCTAAACCTCATCTCTGACCATGTACAAGGAGAATCAACGATCATATGAGGTACAGGTAAGCTCCTGATGCTTCTCCAAGGCTCAGTTTCCTTCAAGCTAAGAGTCCTACACCTGAGCCCCATTGAATTACCATTTTCATTCATTAGTCGTAGTCTGTATTCAAAGCAGAGTTAAAATCCAAGATCTGGGTTTAGTTTATTTGTCACAAGACCCTAAAAAGCACGTATGACAGTCCATGGAAACTACCAAAGAGGAAAATCTCAGAAAGTCACATTTTTTGCATGATTTCATGATGAACAGTTGGGATGCAATCCTGCAGGCACTTTCTTGAAGAACGTGCAATGACTTTTTAAATTGTTCACTCCAGCATATGATCAACAGGGAGAAACACTTCTTCATCAGCTTCTATCTTTCATTGGTTGATCATTGCCTAAGGCATATATTCTCCTTGATCCTCATTTTTGTGAGCGTGAGGAATCACAGTGGACTCTCTGGTTTTCTTAGTGTGACTTTTGAGATATTTGGGGACAGTCAAACAAGTATTGCCTATGCTTGCAGGAGATGCTATTCATGCAAAAGTGCCTGAAGCCTCAATAAAATTGTTTGACATAGCTATGCCTAGGATCATCGTGAGAGCATGTAATATGGCAGGAAATAATTCCAAACATACAATTTTAACTTAACGTTCAATCATTCCCAGGAGAGAGACTGATTATATTCTATAGATATTTGCATATACAAAGGAAAGGAGACTAAAAATGTATTTGAAACTTGGCCAAAGTTTTAGATCAAAGCATCTGAATTCTAAAAAGGAATCTTGTTTTGTGTTTCTTTCCTGAATTTTGTTTGTGAATATATAAATCTTAGATTAACCAAGGAGTCTTTTGTACTTCTGACACTGTGACAATTATTTCAACAGAATAGATTTCATCTACTACTCCATCTATTTGATTAGCCTCACAAGTAGTATCCATAATAGAGTAAAAGTAAAAATAAATTTAGATTAATTAAAAGAGCATCAATGATGTTAAACCAATTTATTTATTTATTTATTTATTATTAGTTGTTCAAAACATTACAAAGTTCTTGACATATCATATTTCATACATTTGATTCAAGCGGATTATGAACTCCCATTTTTACCCTATATACATAATGCAGATTCACATCGGTTACACACCCACTTTTTTACCTACTGCCATACTAGTGTATGTTGTATTCTGCTGCCTTTCCTAACCTCTACTATCCCCCCTCACCTCCCCTTCCCTCCCCTCTCATCCCCTCCCTTCCCATCTTCTCTCCCTACCCCATCTACTGTAATTCATTTCTCTCTCTTGTTTTTTTCCCCCTTTCCCCTCACTTCCTCTTATATGTAATTTTGTGTAACAATGAGGGTCTCCTTCCTTTACCATGCAATTTCCCTTCTCTCTCTCTTTCCCTCCCACCTCTCATCCCTGTTTAATGGTGATCTTCTCATGCTCTTCCTCTCTATTCTGTTCTTAGTTGCTCTCCTTATATCAAATAAGACATTTGGCATTTATTTTTTAGGGATTGGCTAGCTTCACTTAGCATAATCTGCTCTAGTGCCATCCATTTCCCTGCAAATTCCATGATTTTGTCATTTTTTTAGTGCAGAGTAATACTCCATTGTGTATAAATGCCACATTTTTTTATCCATTCATCTATTGAAGGGCATCTAGCTTGGTTCCACAGTCTAGCTATTGTGAATTGTGCTGATATGAACATTGTTGTAGCTGTGTCCCTATAACACGCTCTTTTAAGGTCTTTAGGGAATAGTCCAAGAAGGAGAATAGCTGGGTCAAATGGTGGTTCCCTTCCCAGCTTTCCAATGAATCTCCGTACTGCTTTCCAAATTGGCCACACCAAATTGCAGTCCCACCAGCAATGTACAAGTGTACCCTTTTCCCCACATCCTCGCCAGCACTTGTTGTTGTTTGACTTCATAATGGCTGCCAATCTCACTGGAGTGAGATAGTATCTTAGGGTGGTTTTGATTTGCATTTCTCTGACTGCTAGAGATGGTGAGCATTTTTTCATGTACTTGTTGATTGATTGTATGTCCTCCTCTGAGAAGTGTCTGTTTAGGTCCTTGGCCCATTTGTTGATTGGGTTATTTGTTATCTTATTGCTTAATTTTTTGAGTTCTTTGTATACTCTGGATATTAGGGCTCTATCTGAAGTGTGAGGAGTAAAAATTTGTTCCCATGATGTATGCTCCGTATTTACCTCTCTTATTGTTTCTCTTGCTGAGAAAAAAACTTTTTAGTTTAAGTAAGCCCCATTTGTTGATTCTAGTTATTAACTCTTGTGCTATGGGTGTCCTATTAAGAAATTTGGAGCCCAACCCCACAGTCTGTAGGTCGGAGCCAACATTTTTTTCTATCAGATGCAGAGACTCTGATTTGATATCAAGCTCCTTGATCCATTTTGAGTTAACTTTTGTGCATGGTGAGAGAAAGGGATTCAGTTTCATTTTGTTGCATATGGATTTCCAGTTTTCCCAGCACCATTTGTTGAAGATGCTATCCTTCCTCCATTGCATGCTTTTAGCCCCTTTATCAAATAGAAGATAGTTGTAACTTTGTAGATTAGTCTCTGTGTCCTCTATTCTGTACCATTGGTCCACCCGCCTGTTTTGGTACCAGTACCATGCTGTTTTTGTTACTATTGCTCTGTAGTATAATTTGAAATCTGGTATCGCTATACCGCCTGATTCACACTTCCTGCTTAGAGTTGTTTTTGCTATTCTGGGTCTTTTATTTTTCCATATGAATTTCATGATTGCTTTATCTATTTCTACAAGAAATGTCATTGGGATTTTGATTGGCATTGCATTGAACCTATAGAGAACTTTTGGTAATATCGCCATTTTGATGATGTTAGTTCTGCCTATCCATGAACAGGGTATATTTTTCCATCTTCTAAGATCTTCTTCTATTTCTCTCTTTAGGGTTTTGTAGTTTTCATTGTATAAGTCTTTCACCTCTTTTGTTAGGTTGATTCCCAAGTATTTTATTTTTTTGAGGATATTGTGAATGGGGTGTTTTTCCTCATTTCCATTTCAGAAGTTTTGTTGCTGATATACAGGAATGCCTTTGATTTATGCATGTTGATTTTATATCCTGCCACTTTGCTGAATTCATTTATTAATTCTAGTAGTTTCTTTGTAGACCCTTTTGGGTCTTCTACAGAAGACAATTAGAAATTATTTTGAAACCCTATATTCCAATAAAATAGAAGATAGTGAAGACATTGATAAATTCTTAAGTCATATGATTTGCCCAGACTGAATCAGGAGGATACACACAATTTGAACAGACAAATATCAATGGATGAAATAGAAGAAGCAATCAAAGGACTACCAACCAAGAAAAGCCCAGGACCGGATGGGTATACAGCGGAGTTTTACAAAACCTTTAAAGAAGAATTAAAACCAATACTTTCCAAGTTATTTCAGGAAATAGAAAAAGAGGGAGCCCTTCCAAATTCATTCTATGAGGCCAACATCACCCTGATTCCAAAACCAGACAAAGACACCTCAAAGAAAGAAAGCTACAGACCAATATCTCTAATGAACCTAGATGCAAAAATCCTCAATAAAATTCTGGCGAATCAGATACAAAAACACATCAAAAAAATTGTGCACCATTATCAAGTAGGATTCATCCCTGGGATGCAAGGATGTTTCAATATATGGAAATCAATAAATGTTATTCACCACATCAATAGACTCAAAGATAAGAATCATATGATCATCTTGATAGACGCAGAAAAAGCATTCGACAAAGTACAGCATCCCTTCATGTTCAAAACACTAGAAAAACTAGGGATAACAGGCACTTACCTCAACATTGTAAAAGCTATCTATGCTACGCCTCAGGCTAGCATCATTCTGAATGGAGAAAAATTGAAGGCATTCCCTCTAAAATCTGGAACAAGACAGGGATGCCCTCTATCACCACTTCTATTCAATATAGTTCTCGAAACACTGGCCAGAGCAATTAGACAGACGAAAGAAATTAAAGGCATAAAAATAGGAAAAGAAGAACTTAAATTATCACTATTTGAAGATGACATGATTATAAACCAATTTATTTAAAAAACAATTATTCCACACTTGTATAAATTTGTCAAAATGAATTATGCTATCATATATAACTAAAAAGAACAAATAAAAAAGAAATAAGAAAAAATTAGCTCAAATCTATGATGACTTGCAGACTAAACGAAGAAAAAACTATAAATCAAAACCAGAAATCAAAAAGGAATTGTTCTTTACAAAAGAAAAATTGTATTAACTATTACACCAAATGATATATAGATAGAGAAATATTTGATGGCATCTCAGAAAGAAATTGCTATAAATTCATATGATAAATCTTATTGAAGTAAAATATTATTAATAACTCTTGCATTTTTGTTGTCTTAAATCTGATGTCATCTTCACCAAAATTTGTGATTTTTATTATTACCAAGACAACCAGTACGTGCATGCATCTTCAATGTTGAGAGTTGTAAGCGACTTTACATTAGTATTATCAAAAAGAACACTGTGGACTTTTCACAGCTTTGGATTCTTTGGACCATATTAAAAAAATTTACAGTCATTTGAATTCATTTTATACTTGAAACATCTGACAGTCTTGTGTGTGTGTGTGTGTGTGTGTGTGTACTGGGGATTGAACCCAAGGTTGCTTAACCACTGAGCCATATCCCAACCTCTTTTCAAATTTTATTTAGAGACATGATCTTTCTAAATTGCTTAGGTCCTTGCTAATTTGATGAAGCTGGTTTTGAACTTGTGATCCTCCTGCCTCAACCTCTTGAGCATTTGTAATGACAGGTGTTAGTCATCCACCCAGCTCAATTAACAGTCTTGATATAAAACTTACTTATTTTATTCGTATCTATGTCTCTCTTCTGCTGATGAAGGGGCATATTATCATTTTTTTCTATTTTTACATGCACAAGAAAACTTAAAATTTAATATGAATGAAAATGTTTTCAAAATTATTTAACCTAAAAGAAGATGTATGTATCAAAGTAAAATATGAATCATCATTTGCAATTTCTAATGGCAGGTCATCGTCTTTGGAAGCAGTTTTCTTAGAACTTTGTGTTTGAAGTAGAGGTTGATATTTGGTAAAATTTTGTCTTTTAATTTACATGAGGCCACTTATCTTGGATAAAAATATAATATTGTCCTGATGAATAATAACATCATTGATTTCCTGTGTAATCTATGTACTTACCATCTACTTTCTTTTGGTAGTAGAAATTCAGTATATATATATTGTATTTAGAACGAGTTTTTCTTTTTTGCCCATTTCTAAATAATATTTAAAGAGGAAAGGTGCTATCAAAAATGAAATAAAAGTTGCAGATTTTGACAATACAATACATCCCCTAAACACTGAAGCAAGACCATTTAGATTATTCTTTATATGCTCTGAAGCAGCATCAGCTTGGTGCTCATTCATACTTCATCCATCTAACCTGTTACTCTCAAGTTTCCCACTACCTCCACCTACTGGTGGTTTGGTATATATCGCTGCATCTTTCCTGGAGTGGAGCTTGCCTTACTAGTTAGTATAACTAGGTTAGAATAATAATGAAACTCCAGTGGGTCATTTGTTTAAATCTGTAGGCTGTCCTATTCATTGTATATGAGTGTAATTTGTTTTCCAAGTGATCCCTCTACATGCTGTCTTTGAACAAAAAGTGATCTATTTTGTTTAGGAAGGTTAATAAAGAGGGATGCCTGTCAATTTTCAACTTCAACAATTGAGTCAAGTCCAAAGGTGTTATTGTATATGCATCTTGTATTCTTCCAGATGAATGAATCCATGGCAGAAGTAAAGTGGAAGTTCTTTAAACCTACTGCAACTTGTGCCAATGAAAGTTTTATTGATTATAAATAAAATGTAAAATTCTGGAAAAATTATCAAATGGGACTAAATATTAAAACAAAATAATAAACCAAGACACAGAGTGATCCTGTGGGTAAAGATCCACATCACCTGAACCCCCAAAAGGTTGTCACCTGAACCCCTAAAGGGTTTTCCTTGACATAAATGATAAAACAAGTTGGGACATCACTGATGGCTCAAGTGTTACCAACTGTCTAGATATTCTTCAGAATGCTGCAACAATAGAATATTTACCTTGTTTTTGAAGAGTTTTTTTTCAAACAAAACAACTAGAAAAAAAATGGGAGTTCATCAAATTTATAAAATGGATTATATGGAAAATGTTTGGCTTATTGACTTAAAAAGTCTTAGAATATGTTAAAGATTTCATTTAGAAACTGGATTTTTAATCTGGAAGTAAGGCTAGCAGAATTGAAGCCCTTGCTGAATCTAACTCACTATCATCTAACTTCTTTTTGGATACCTTCATTACAATTTCCCATGCATTTTAGAACATATTTTTTGTGAGTAATCTTTCTTCCAAAATTAAGTGACAGAGACAATTTAATACTCCTTGCAAATTATAACCATTTAAATATTGGAGTTTTAACTCTCTGCATAGTAATAAGCCAGGTATGAGTTTGTTGTTTTGAAATTGTGTGCCTTCATCTCTCATGTAAAAATATTAAGAGTGAATATAAAAGATGAAAAAAAAATCTTTTGAATCAAAAAAATGATTATACTCTTTAAAGCTTAAAATGTTAAATGATAAGTAGAAGATACAGGAAAACCCAGACACATATTTAGAAAGAGTTTTAAAGGAAAAGAAAATACTAACACGATAGAAAGATATAACATAATTTTATTTAAACTTACAACACTTTTTACTTTGTAAAATTTATATAACTAGGAGGTCCATGAAGAAAGAATTATGCTTCAATGATTGCATGCCTACCTAAAAATTTTTTAAAAAGAAGTTTTAACATCTATCTCCAAAGAATACATACATTTCCCAATTACTGGAATTCAAGTTATTCCTAATTCATGGGGGTAAATGTAGAAGCAGATTTTTAGGCTGATGACAGAATATACAGGAGATCAAAAAACAGCATGGATCTTAAGATAGTAAGGTTTTAAATTTCTCTTCACCTAATATATATGATTAGTAGAAGCCAGATCCACAGGGCAGTTGGTAAGAAGCAGACTGGCAACTTCTAGAGGAGAAATAGGAGGGACGGTAACAGTTAGATCCATAATTTAGAGATGAGAATGTGTGAGGAGCACAACCCACTGACTGGAACCCTCTGGATCCAAAGCCACAACCAACAGACTGAAAGCCCCTGGACCCAAAGCCCAGCGATCCGGAGAAAGCTGTGTGGCAGGGACTGCAGCATGTGGAGGACCTCTGGCGGTAGCAGGACGTCTGGCAGGGCTTGGACACCCCACAGGGTGTCTGGCAGCTGGTGGGATCACAGCAGGTCTCCTGACAGCCACTGGAGAGAGAGGAGCCCAGCTGGTGGGTGACGGGAGTTTGTAAAACAGGGCAGTAGAATGCGCTGCTGGGGCAGGAAGAGCCGCAGGAGCCGTCCGGTTGTTGCAGGTAGCCCCCAAAGGAGCGGGAGGAGTAGCTTCCAGAACAGCAGTTGGAGGACATGTTGACAGGAGATAGAACTTTAGATGACAAGGTTCTCAGCTGGAATGCCACTTCTTGGACTGGCACATTTATATACCCTTTTCATTGGGTGTGGTGTCAACCCCGTGGTTCATGAAAACAAGTTACCTGCAGGTTTTAATTGAACTGTGGTTTTACAACTGTAAAGTGCAGTCATGTCTGTGGCCTTGGACTGCAGGTAATAGTGTTGAACTTCAAAGCTATTATTCATCTTCCCTTAGCAAAGGTCGCCCTGAAGATCACTCAGAGAAGTGCTTTAGAGGTAGACAGTATCTGGGTTGGGGAAGCTGGCTTAATTAAAAATAATTGCAACCCATTTCACAATCAGAATTGTTGACACCCAACTAGCAATGTTGTTAAGTAACCTATTCATAGCTATGTCTTTTGAACAACAGCATAGGTTGATTGTCCTGCACAGTGTCAAGCTTACTAAATGAAAGGTGTCATCAGAAAGCAGCTATACTGATATGCAGAATATGTAAGATTTTTAAAAAATCAGACTTCAAATTGAAAGGCTTTAGTTAACTATTTACTGAAAGAGTCCCTGGTTTCCAAGCTTCTGCTTGAAACTGTGGACCATTCAGAGCTAAAAGCCAATCTTAGTTGTTTCTTTTCTTTTTTTCTTTTTGCATATGTGTGTTTACTGTGATGTCAGCCTAATAGCACACATAAGTTGCTTTATGGTATTTTGAAATGTTAGAGATTATTCATCTAAATTACTGAAAAAAAGCATTAAAAATAAGAACAAATCATGAGACCAAAATGCCCAATGTATTTCTATCTCTAATCAGAGTCACTGTTCCACTAAAAGGATTTCTCAGAATCTGGAAAATATTCTTGTTCTAAAGAAAATATAAAATAATTGTTAGACCAAAGAAACCATCTTAAGGAGATTCTTCCTTTGCCTCAGAAAGCAACATACATCAATTTGATTTAAATTGTTTCCAGGTGTTTCTGACAAGGATTACAACATTTCTAAAAGAAGGGCCATATTTCTTCTCCTTCCATGACTTGTGATCCTCATCTATGTAAGACTGTAATGAAGACTGATACCTGGAAGAATAAGAGAGATGGAGAAGGTTTATCTTGCTGTGGCTTATGAGCTGTTTGATTTGTTTGTTTCATAGAAAAGTTTTTCCTTTCCACTTCTTAATTCTGAACAAAAGTGTTTGGATGCAAAAGCATCCTTTTTTGTTGTTGTTGTTGTTTTTTTGAGAAACGAATGCTCAAAATTACTTAATATCTGATCTCACAGAATATTTTTTCTACAGCAATATCCTATATAAAATCAGATAACATTGAAGCAAGCAAGCAAATTCAATTAAGATCAGTTAAATATTTATGTGGGATTTTGATGTTCAATATTTTATTGACAAATGAAGCAGATTTGGAAACTACTAAAATGCTTCTTTCAATTCATAATTAAGAGGCCTACTAAATAAAAATTGTTTATTTTACAAATAGTGGACAAGCTATGTTATCTAATAAATGAAATCATTGTGTCAACTCAAACTGTTCAGACCCATAAAGTCCACATTTCAGAAGAAAGTTTGGCAAAAATCTCCATATTCTATTAGACTGGGATTTTATTGACTATATTCTGATTGCAAATTCCCAGGACACTCAAGATAGAAATCTCATTAGTTGCAATAGCAGATAACTTTAATTTTTCCTTAAAATGTCCACCTAGTAACCCTAATTCTTCATAGAATCAGCTCATTGTGATTAGAAAATATTATTAGTTTTGAAGATAGGTATCCTAAGATGTTTTACCATTCCCACAGGCTATACACTATCTTTATTTACATTTAGCTTTGGTGAACTTTATGAAAGAGTCCAGAAAAATCCTCAGGCTACCAAGTCCTGTAAGATAAACATTGATGACTTGATGGATGTATTACATCAGAGATCCCTCCCCCAACCATATTTCAATTCATAAAGATCATTTGTAACTATGAATTTTTCAAATCCCTGATTCTTCTGTGAAATCTATGCAGGATGGAAACATTTGGCATTTCTCATTTTCTTAATCCTTCATAGTAAAACTTTTACATTGTGAGGGGAAAAAGAGTAAAGTTCTATACTTTTTGTATAGTGCTCATTATTTTCTTCTCAATACATCAGTGACACCAAAACATATTACTTAAACATTGTACAAGTGGAGAGTTTTATATAACCAAGTTTATGAAGTTCACTAATGACTTTAATCAAGAGACAAATGAAAGAGTTGGGGATATAGTTTACTGGTAGGCTTAGCATATACAAGGCCCTGGGTTAATTCCTCAGCATCACACACACACACACACACACACACACAGAGAAAAAAAAAATAATTAACCTTCAAAGTATTCATTAAAACTTGGACCCATGGATCTAAATATTCACATAGACAAAAGTAATTTCACTATTTGTATTATAAGAAAACTAAACCTGAATTTATTATCTATTTATTTATTATCTATTCATTTAGCATTATTACCAGTTAAGGTTAGTGGGTTGCTTCTTTCATAATTTCCACAAGATTTGGGAGAAAGACGATTTCTTTTTTCTATTCTCCATTAAGTTCCCAAACTTGAAGCAGTATAATTGTCTCCCTTATACTACAAAGCATCTTTGCTATTTTTGCTATGTTATCCATTTTACTTAGTATCTTGAAGAACAGGATGAATAAAGTCCCAGTCTTATAGATAGAATCATGGTGGTTTTCATGAGAAATTACATTTTTGTTTCATGAACAACTGCTTTGAAAAACTAATGGTATCGTTTCATTTAAAAGTTTGTATTCATATAAAGATCTTTGAAGATTGATGTATTTCATTTTTTATTGGAGCCTAATTAAATATTCTTATTAAAATAGGCACATGCTACACCCACTTCCAGGGTATATAAGTACCCAGTGTCGAAGGTGACATTTACCTGAGACTCCTCACTGCAGCTCAGCTGAACTCAGAACTCCTGACAAAATGTCTTACAACTGTGGCTCTGGAAGATTCTCCTCCCAATCTCTTGGAGGTTACCTGAGGTACCCAGTTTCCCAGTATAACTCCTTCTACCCCAGTGATGTAGCCTACTCTCCAGGAACCTACCAGCTGGGCTCCTCTTTCCATGGTGGCCATCAGGAGTCTTACTCTGAGCCCATCAGCTATGAAACATCCTGCCCTGGAACCAGATCCTACCAGACATCGAGTTATTGCCCAAAGAACTTCATTTTCTCCAGTCCCTGCCAAGCGAATTACTCTGGATCTCTTGGATATGGTAGCGCCGGCCATGGATCTTTTGGATTTGGAAGCACTGGGTTCCAGTCTGTGGGATGTGGGTCCAGCTTCCACCGTCCAGCTTACTTCCCTTCCAGGAGTTGCCAGTCGACTTGTTTCCGCCCAGCCATTGGCTCTCACTATTTTGGATCATCCTGCTGAATATTCCTGATCCTCTCATGATTATTTCTGCACTTTATGGAACTTTAACTTTCCACTTGTCCCATACCTGTGATTGCTGACCATTTTCACCACTAGGATTCACCATCACAGTCTCCCGGAAGTAAATAATTTACTGTGGACTAAGTAATTTGGGTCTATGATCTTTCCTAAATTTGACATGAGATTGATCTTGAATTTTAATTTTTATGCCAATGCTTAGAATCAATGCTGTTGCCATCTTTCTGAAATTCTTCTCTCATTTATTTTCCCTCCATACAGTGATTCTTCATTAGACTATTTTATTTAAAATTAAAAAAAAAAATTCTCTAACATGAATTCTGGCAATCCATTGTCTTGTATTAATATGATACATTTATTTAATACACCCCATACCTTCAACCATCTTTAGTTTTTGTTTTCCCTGTTTCATGTTTCATTAATATTTTTGGACATGAAAAGAGGAGTTTTCAGAGAAAATTCAAATATATGACACAACTATGTCATATATCTCATATATTAAAAGATTTATGTCTTCTCATGAGTTCAGGTGTTCTTATAATTGCATCAGAAATTTTGCTTCCAGAGGGGCATTCATTGACAAGAGTATGTATTGAGCTGCTTTGTACAACAGACATTGTTCTGAACAAAGACACAAAATATCTGCCTTCAAGAAACTCACACAAATAAAATTCTAACTTAACATCATGTGACAAGTCAATAATGGGGAGAAAACAAAGGATTCAGTGGAAACACAAGGAAGAACTTCAAAGAGTCTGAGAAAATCACAAAAAGTCCATTATTTAAAACAAAAAAGCCCAAGGTAATACTCATTTAAATAATATAAATATTACTGATGTATTGTGTTCTTTGAAAAGCAGACACCAAATGGGATTAGACAGGAAAGGGATTTGTTATTAAAAATATTTGTGAGGGAAAATAGGAAGTTATTTGGGGAGGTCTGGGAGAGCCATCTTGCTTTGATGTATGTCTGGTGGAAAGGAAGGATAAAGGGAAGAAACGAGGCTGGGTTAGAAGCAACTTTAAGAAAATCTTAGGAAGTCACCCATCAAAGGATTCCCAAATCTTACTAAAATATTCTATGCATAGGTCCCCTGCAAGGCTCATTCACAGACCAAGAACAGAGACCACCAGCATGACTTTGGCACAAACACAGTTGGCTATCAATCAATAATACTACCTGAAATAGAAGATATGAGAAACTGATTTTCATAACTTTTATGTTCATTATATTTATTCTGATTTTAAGTAAGCTAATTCACTGATGAACTATGGTGAAATGATATTATATTTTTCATAGTTTTTTCCTTTTTTTTAATCAAAAGCCAATCAAGTCAGGGCCCACTAAATGAAAGTCTATCACTACAATCAAATAGAAGAGAGAACTGAGAATTATTATATAGTTATCTTTAATATAAACTAATATATTAAGCAGAATGAACACAGTAGGGCAAAATTAGGAAATAGTTTCATTTTTCTAACACCACTGAACTTCATTCTTGATCTGATGGCTTTAACTTCTGTGAAATCTGAATGATACAATGAAAAGATCTACGGTCATTAGGATACCAATAAATATTTTTTCATATTAGTAACTCAACCCAATCCACTATGAGTTAAACAACAATCTTAGAACCACATCAAATCTTCTCCTTCTTCTTACTGATCTGGCCTGCCCTGGGGTCCTACAGATCACTGGTGATCTGGAGGAGGTTGATTATTTTTTTCTAAATAAAATTACTTCTTTTTTACTCTACCTTGTCTTCTTTGGTTATCTTCCCTTCTTCTTTTGAAATAAAAGGAAAGAATTAGAGGAAAGGAAATAACCCTTGAGGCCACCATCTCTATATCATTCTTCAGACCACCTGTGCCAACATCACTTTGTAGTTCAGTTATGCAAACTTTTTGCTTGGAAAAGATTAAGATTGTACCAATCAGTCATCATTTCAATAGGTGCTTCAGAAAATTCCTACTGGCTGATTTATTGGAAATAATAGTCTGCAAACCTGTATAAACATCTCCCTAATTAAGCAACAGTTTGTGTATCAAAAGACTTATTTCAAGTCCCTCTCTTTGCCATACTCCCTGCCCAAGTTCTAAAGGATCATATAATAAATTCCAATTAGTTTTCTGTAGTGAAAGACATACTGTAAACCATCTGAATCCAGAATCTCATTTCTGTTTGTAGATTCAGCATGCTATGATTGCATTCTTTCTTATTATAATAAGTTTGAACACTGTATGTGCCGCAGTCTGGCTGGGCACAATCAGGAGCCACTTGTCAAAAGAAACTAACTTTATTTTTAGAACCACACACGACAAACAAAATAGTCTCTCAGGAAAAACCCTCAGAGCCTCAACTGCCACCACCGGCTTTCCACAAGCCTCTCTCTCCCACACAAGCTTCTCTCCACCTCCCACAATCCTCCTGCTCTTGAGGCCGATTGGCTGGGTCACGTGGGCGGAGCCAAAAAAGTCCCCCAATGAGCAGCTCCGTGGTCTGAAAGGGCAGGGAAACAGTCCAATGAGCATCACCGTAGAGGAGCCAATCAGCTAGATGTTGCTGGGGCTGCTGTGAGCCAATCGTCAGCCGGCAGCTGGAAGTTTGCTGGCAGCTGGAAGTTTGCTGGGGCCCCTTCGGCTGTGGCTCTCAACATCTCCCCCTCTCTGTTTAAACAACAAGCATGTGGCTTAGGGACCGTGCCTGTTAGGCAGTCCAATTCAACATATGGTCCTTACCCGTCATCGGATGAACTGACCTCTAGGCGTCAGCCTCCTGTCTTAGGTTGGTACCACTGCAATTGGATCATACCCGTCACTGACTACCGGTCCAGCATACAGCCATACTTGTGGATAGGCCTTTGCACCTGTGGGGGGGTGAGGTTCTTTGCCTCACCTCTGTTGGCCCCCAAATTTTAGACCATCACTAGTAGAGGAGGATGCAAAATGCCATGACATTAAGCCAATTGAGGGCTCCTTTGAAAAATTGTACCACCGGTGACATCATCAGCAAAAATACCCCAACACTACCACAGATAGCTGCACCAACAGATAGTTCACAATGCATACAGGTGAGCTCACAATGTGTCCAGGCAAGTTCTGCAAGCAGTTCAGTGATGGCTATTGTAGAAGCTGTAGATTGGTTTTATCTTTGACTTCACCAGCACTGGGATGAAGATAGGAATTCTGGCAATAATGGCTAAAGAAAAAATTATGTAACACTACAGAAGGCACTAAAAGAAAATAATTTTCTTAACAATTTACATTATCTTTAAGAGAATTATTAAATATAATGAAAAGGAAAGGTAAAAGTAAACAAACAGATCTGTTAACCTTCTTTTTTGTTTACATATTAAAACAATCCTCAACAGTTGTTTACCCAATTTAAATTAAACCATATAAATCACGTGAAAAAAAAAATTTGGATCCATTTTATCATGAGCGCTCATCATATATGATATATGGACATACGTACATTCAAACATATAACACAAAACACAAGTGTGCACACATAATATAATACATACAACACATAACATTATAGTAAAGGCCTTATAACTTTTTACAGGTGAAATCTCCATTGCAATGTTTAAAAACTCTATAGTCAAAAAATAGAACTGATCAGCAAAACATTAACCTAGGTCTGTATGAGCTCAAAAAACAAAATAGAACTTCATGATATGGCAAAGGGCAATAATAAAATAGATATTGAAAAAAGCATCCTGGTTCTGTTGCAGATGTAAGAATAGCCAAACTGGAGTTTTGGATATCAGTTGTTATGGATTTGAGCCAAATCATCTTCTTTTTGGTCTGTAGAAATCGCTTTAGTTAATCTTTCTGGAATCCAAATCGGCTGCTGTTCTCCCTGTGGAAACACATAAACAGACCCCCGACTCCAGACAATCACTGGGTCAGGACCTTGGTTAATCTCTCTGGAATCCAAATCGGCTGCTGTTCTCCCTGTGGAAACACACAAACAGACCCTCGACTCCAGACAATTACTGGGTCAGGACCTTTCCATTGTCCTGTTAGAATATCCTTCCAAAGTACCTTGGTCTTATGTACATTTTTTGGACACATATGCCTTTCCGCAGCACTAAGTCCTGATGAATCCAAATTTAAAAAGTTTAGAGTAAAAAGGGTTATTTTAAGTTTATCTTTGGGGAATATATACCCCTTCCCAATTCCTTCTTTTTGCTTTAATAAGTACATTTTAATAGTTTGATGAGCTCTTTCAACTATGCCTTGTCCCTGTGGATTGTATGGGATTCCTGTTATATGAGTAATGCCAAATGTTGAGCAAAATTGTTTAAAAGAGGTAGAAGTATAACCAGGGGCATTATCTGTTTTTAACTGTTTTGGAACACCCACAGTGGCAAAATTTTGTAAGCAATGAGCTATAACATCTTTAGTTTTTTCTCCGGCATGAAGGGAGCCCATCAAAAATCCAGAAGAAGTATCAACTGTAACATGCAAATATTTTAATTTTCCAAATTCTGGCAAGTGTGTGACGTCCATCTGCCAAATATGGTTAGGTATCAATCCTCTAGGATTGACTCCAAGATTAACTTGTGGTAAAAAGGTCACACAATTTTGACATTGTTTTATTATTTGTCTAGCTTGTTCCTTAGTTATTTTAAAACGCTTTTGTAAAGTATTAGCATTGACATGGAACTTTTTTGAAAATTTATAGCTTCTTCTAGTGTAGAGAAAATATGTATGTCATGTGTAGTTTTATCTGCTAAATCATTGCCCAAACTAAGGGCTCCAGGCAATCCTGTATGTGCCCTGATATGTCCTATAAAGAATGGATCTTTTCTGTCCCAGATTAGACTTTGTATAGTGGAAAGCAAAGAGAAAACAGTAGAGGAAGGGGAAATCCTACCAGCATCTTCAAGCGATACTATAGCATTAACTACATACTGACTATCAGAAAATAAATTAAATACAGAATCTTTAAACATCACAAAAGCTTGTAAAACTGCATTAAGCTCTACCTTTTGAGCTGATTGTTTGGGTACTAAAAATGTAAAAGTTTGATCAGGGGTAACTACTGCTGCTGTACCATTATTTGACCCATCAGTGAATATATTTGGAGCATTCATGATAGGTTTTTTTCTTGTCATTTTTGGAAAAATTACAGGATGCAATGACCAAAAAGACAATAAAGGATTAGATGGTAAGTGGTTATCAAATGAAACATTAGATTTGCACATGATTATTGCCCAAGTATTTAACTCATTAGCTAACTCATCAATTTGATTCATAGTATATGGAGTAATAATTTTATTGGGAGAAATTCCAAACACTTCCTTTGCTGCTTTTATTCCTTTGAGTATTAATTGTCCTACAGCCTCAGGATACCTAGTAAGAATAGTGTTAGGAGAATAAGATAAATGTATCCATAATAATGGACCTTCTTGCCAAAATACTCCTGTAGGAATATTTTTTGTTGGTAGTACAATAAATAATAAAGGCAAACTTATATCAATTCTATCCAAATGCATATTTTCCATATATGTTTCAATGATTTTTAATGCCTTTCTTGCTTCAGGCGTTAACATTCGGGGTGAATTTGGATCTGATGGACCTTTTAGGATATCAAATAAAGGTCCCAACTCTCCTGTT